GGTGTGAAATGTATAGTTTTCAGGGTTTTTATCGGTTTTCAGCGTTATTTTGTTATTGTTTTTATCATTTACTCGGTTTTCCTTGGTCTTTTCATGTGTGTTATGAATAAATTTTCCTTTTTCGGTACTGGTACTAGTTTTATTTTGTTGTATTTATCCGCGACGCCTTAAAGGCTGGTCCATGAAAATATTGTCGGGCATAAACCGGTCCGTGGCGCAAAAAAGGTTGGGGACCGCTGAGCTAGGATATCTGTTTATATCAGCTGAACCTCCGTATAAATCGATGCTTAGATAGATTTTGCACTGGCTAAACATTGAGGTTATTGTAGCGAGGAACTTTTTATAATCAAGATTTCTTTGTGTCACTTGCATAAAGGGGGGAATAAAAAAATCATCACCTGTTTTGCAAAATTTTCATATTAAACATCAGGATTCAACCTCAATTTAACAGTGAGGTAGTTAGTGGAGGAGAATCCTCCTAATCCTGCTCTGCTGGTTATAAACTACAACTCTCTGCAGCTGGTTTGCTGTCAGACCTGATAAATACTTTCACTTTTCTTATCTGTGCCTGACAATCATTGTGTCACTATGCTTTCAACACCACTGTGAAGTCTTCTGCAGGTCTCCAGGCTCCCTTGTAATAACACATGATAGGAAATGCCAAGTAAAATCACTCTACCCTTTAAAGGTTTTGACCCTTTTAAGGTTTCGCATCATAAAAGTGACAAAAATCATCATTAATATCCCGAAACCTTACCAGCAACAGTCATCTAGGTGGCACGCACAAGTGTGATCATTTATGACTAAAAGCATCACTTTGGAGCAACTTCCTATCTCAGTGCTGCAGCGGTCTCGATTATTGCATATTTATTTGTTGCCCATCCATCTGGTGTGGTGCGTCTGTTTGCATGGCCAAACACTGGACGCAGGTGCAAGAGCGTCGAAGCAGATTAGTGCCATAATTGAGCCATGTGATTGACATGAGCGGAGATATCGGCACCCGTGTCTGCTATCACAGGTCGCCTGTTCCTGATGTAATACCATTAAGCTGAGTCTTCTGGGAGGCTTTTGCGTGTTGGTTTCACGCGTGCGTGTGCAGTGGCCAGAAACAGTGACAGGAAGCAGAGAGCAGAACTCACCTGTGTGACGGTGAAATGCGCTGTATATCGCTGCCCTCTCAGCAGAGCAGATGGGCTGTGTGTTGTGTAAATGTGTATCTGATATCGAAAATGAAATAAACACCGCAATATAAACTCTGATGCTGTCTAGTACTGTGTGTGTTTGCAGTTACTGTGCTGTACTCTCGTCCCTGGGTTGCTTATACTTATACTTATACTTCAAGTGGTGAGAATTAGGGAGTAAACTAATTAATACATCAAAAGTACATCGAGACGACTTCATGTTCAAGGATAAATACCAACAAATCATAATACTTTAGGGGGAAATGCTTAAACCTGCATGTAAAGTTGTACAAAAACTAAATATACGCAGTACTCAAGGGATTACCCGTGTGCGGTAAACCATTAAAGAGGACCTCTTCTGCTCGTCTCCAGCTCCATGTTTTTTATTCCATGACTCAAGAGTAGCTTTGCATGATTCACAGATCAAAATAATCCTTATTTATCTTATTCTGGGCCTTGGTGCACCCCCTCAGTTCATCCTTTGTCTGAAATAGAGAGTTTCAGCTTCTCTCTTCAGTTAACTTTTATTCTGAGTGGCTGTCCCTCACAAGTATTAGGCTGGAACAGCAGGTGAGCAGGGCACCTGTGCTTCAGATATATCCGCTCCTTATGACATCTTACAGAGCCATGTTTAACACGAGCATCTGTGTATGAGGCATGAAATGAAACGAAATTATCTAAAATATACACCTTATAGATAGAAAATTACCTGTCTTATTTCATAACAATGGCCACAGTTGCTTTTGTGCTCAGTGAAGGTAATTGTAGAGATAATCTCGAGACCTTATGACTCTCTGTCCATTAAATTTTTTTTTCTAATTAGACTCAATGAAAGGATTATTCTCCTTTTTTGGGGGTGTTAAGGCGTTATTATCGAGCTGCAGTCCAGCTGTTTTGGTGCTTTCACATTTGCTTTTTGCAATTCATAATTATGAGAAGTTTGATACGGCCTGTAACTAATCATCATGCATATTTTAGAATGTTGTTCATGAGTCACGACTCACTAAAGTTCAGACTTTGTGGTGGAAAATGAATCATGCGCTGGTGGCCTAATTTCCACCAGTTTTCAACCAAATCTGCTTAGAAGATCTTTGCCATTTTATATTTGCTTTTAAATGAATTTCATGTTTTTTTTCTTGTTCTTTGTTTACTATTATACCAAGATGAAATTCTGGTCCTTTGTCTCACTCTCTGTCTTTCTCTTGTGCATGCAGGTGGTGGCTGAAGACAGCTACTTAAATGAGGTGCAGAACTCAGGTAGGCGAGAGGTGACACTCTCATCCTCTTTCTGTGCATTTACTTTCTCCTCCCATCTGTCCTCCCCTCCTACACCATCTCTCTCCTTTCTGCTGTTTTCTCCGTTCCCTCCAGTTTAACCCACATTCTGACTCAGACTCTCACAAAGCCCCTCCCACTCTTTCCTACCTCTCCTCTCCCCCTCATCCTGGCCTGCGCCCCACTGTCTTTCATTTTCCTCTTCTTTCTTTCTCCGCATCCCTGAGAGGAGTGAAGGGCATGATGAAGATAGGAGGGGGGGTTGGGGCAAAGAACTCCTCCCTCTCGGCTCATTTCCAGTGCGGTGAAACATCTCCACCTTAACACTCACTACACACTGACAGACAAGCGCCCATGCAGTCAGAAACACATCATCCATCACGGGGAATCCAAATTGTGGCTTTTTAACAATACTGAACACCTGCATAAATTCACATACTGCTAAAATTGCCTCTTTTTATTGGGTGGAAATGAGGATAAATGGTGTAAAACCAAATTTCCTCAGGTTTCCAGATTTATTAGTGTGTTTTGTGTAGAGGATGTTGTTGCTACACACCCACCCCCCATACAGCCAGCCTCCGACTGTGAACCGTGTCAAATACTCATTGTGGCTGGGAAACGGATTATGGGAGAAGGGAGACTGAGTGTTCCCATGGCGATGGGCAGAGTGTGGTTGTCGTGGCAATGAGGAGGGTGTCGAGTATTGTGTGAAATGCATTAAAGAGCGTAGTGAAATATTAAAATGGTGAAAAAAATAAACAAGGGGAGAATTTAGGGATCATATTGAGACATGAAAAATCATAATAAATGTTAGTTTTGAGCGATACTGAAAATGTTGCTTTTGTTTAGTTACGTAACGCTTTTTTACTTTATTAAAATTTTATGAAGCTGAAGATAAAAGTTTGATTAGTGCTACTGTGCAGCTTTTAAGCATGTTTTTGCCATTCAGCACAACAAATGCAAAATATATATGTGAAAATATTACATGATTTATATGGTAAGATTACGAATTACAAAGCAGTAAGGGAACATGGCAGTGTATCCTGTGTTTTTTTAAATATTTGATGATTGTTTGTTTGTATTTGTGCCTAAGTGCTTAAAAAGAAGTAAAAATGGCTCAAAGATAAAGTTGTGCATTTATTTTTCATCAGCACCGACACAAAACGTCAGCGTTAACTCTCCAGCAACCCAACTAGTAACTACAATGACTTTGAGGTGTAATTCCTATCTCTAATTGTGTTTATCTTATCTATATTGTTTCTTTTCTCTTGCCGATATTCTAAAATGCTCCACTTATTTTGATTTTCAATCATTTTTAGCTCATCCGGCCAAACATCTGATGTTTTTATGCCACGTATAAGTGTCAGATGGACAAGAATGGCAGGTGTAGTACTTGAACACAGTGATCATATAGTGGATTTTCACCCAAATTCTGCTCAAGGCCAAAGTCATGTTTGTCACTTTATTGGAAATTTTACCATCTTTCAACTTCGGGTATTTATGGAAGAGGATTAGGGCCACTGAAAAACAAAAGTGGGCACGTCTTTTTCTCCCCTGCTTTTCCAGAATTCTGATAAAAAAGTCATAAGTTTGACTTTAATCTCAGAATTTTGACTTTTTTCTCAGAATTCTGGAAAAGAAGAAAAAGAAATACGAGCCCCCCTTTTTTTTTCTTCTTCCTGAGGCTCTAATCCTCTTCCGTAGGTACTGGCCAGATTTTAGTGCAACAACATTAATTTGCCTTGGACATGACTGTTTGGCTCCTCCTTGACTTCTCAGTGTATTTTAAGCCTCATTTGTTTGCGGAGTACTGCCAACTAACCAATAACACAAAAACCTATCACTTTCTTTCTGTACACATTATATTAACTTCTAAACTGTGCTGGATATGAGGGAGGTGAAAAAAGGAGCTACAAAATCCACAAATTGTAGGCAAAAAATGTCATTTATTTTGACTTTCATTCCTCACAAATATTATTTATTTGGATATTGCAAAAAATACAAAAACCATTGCAATGAGTCAGGGAATTATGACTCCAGTTTGACACTTGAAAATTAAATCAGATCGATCTTCAATCAGGTATATATGTAATATTAAATATATCAAAATTAAAGGGACAGTGTTTTTCTCTGACTTGCTATGTGGATATATCTGTTGTTGTTTAATATACTGGAATCTACTTTAGCAGTGCTCACAGTGCCCAAAAACACATACAAAAGAATACACAGAATCCGCAGCAACATTTCTTTCTACAAATCCGTAAACACGTGCAAAATGTGCATCTATTCGTGACTTACAGAAGCACATCCTTTTAGTCCTTTCACCACTTTACAGACTCCACTCGCACCTCCATGTCGGCTATATAAGTAAGAACACCTGGTGAATTCATATTTTGTCTTGAAATCACAGGTGTTGCTCCCATTTACAGCACCACTTTCTTTTCAGTTAAATCCTCAATTTTATTATTTCCACCCATTCTTCTCCCTCGTTAACATGCTGTTCGATCTTCTGTGCACGAAGTGCCGAACTCGTTACAAGCTCGAAGCTTTCACACTTAAACTGACGTCACCATATGTAGCAGTAAACCCCCCTCTATAGTTTAGTCTTTTTTTTGTAGTGTAATGAATTAGTCTGCCTGTTTATAAGATGAAGCCACCGTCCTACATTCATAAGATAATTATGAAGCTGCCTGGCAATGTGTCAAAACGTGATAGACTAAATAATTGAATTATTATACGAAAAACTGTGATAATAAATAACTCATTAGTCATTAAATGCACATCTAAACTTTCTGAAGGTTTGAATATTATTTTCCTCCTTAAAACAAACATTGAGAGACTTTCATATTGAGATTCACATTCACTGTTTTTATCAGTTTGCTTTTCCTTTTTACTTGTCAAAACCGGATTTATTCTACCGTCATTTCTTTATATTTTCTTTCCAAGGAGCCAGTCTTTCTTGTCATTTTAACCTCCTAGGACCTGGCTTCCACATATGTGGACATCCCATTTTGGGTTATTTAGACCATCAGGCCCATGTTATTTAGACCATCAGGCCCATGCTCTACATGGCAAAAAGAAACTAAACAAAACTGAAAAAAATCTGTACTTGGATAGGCGATTAGCAAATTTAGCAAGAAAACCTCATATATTCACATTATCTCACTGATAAATATCTATTAAAGACATTAAATATCCAAAACGTCCTTCATATTGGATATATGTCTTTAAATGTAAGGCACTTGGCTTTTACCCCACAAAGACTCAAACAGAATAATATATTTGATTCAAAGGGTGAGTCTCTGAAGCCCCGCTGACTCGTTTTCACCAACAGGAACTATTATCATGGGATCTAAGTTGGAGCCAAATTCATTGTCACAGGGATTAAAGTACGGATAGAGCTCCTCGGTAAAGAAACACTCAGTGAAAGAGTAAATAAGTGTTGCAGCCTCCGTGTCCCAAAATGATATTTGACCTCGTTCGTAATCCACAAAAACCCCGATCCGCTCCACTTTCCCAAAGTGTACCGGCTCATCCGGAGAGTTGAAGGTTTCAAACTTATTTTCCAGGAACCACATGGCCCACAGCCCACTACGCGAATCCCGACTGAGTGACCCTCTCCTCTGGACCGACGCAGCAGCCATGCCCAGACACCACTCGGTCTTCTGACCCACGTGAACCTCAAAGTAAAACTTGCGGGATGAGAAGCTTCTGTTTCCCAGAACTGCAAGATGCTCAGTGAACATGCTTGGGTTCGAGATTTGGTTTGCCCACCATCCTGAGCGCATGCTGTATCTTACTTGTTTCAAGTCGTCCGATATCATGAGCAGAGGATGAGCCGTGTCCGGATCCAGCAAGACGTTCACTTCGTACTGCTGCATATATCTGAGCGTGGCTTTATTTGACACGTCTGATCTGTCGCACAGTTTTTGTATGTCTGTGTTCATTTTGTTGAGCAGTGTTCGCAGCTGGGAGACGGAGTTTTTCAAAGATTCGCCTATGTGTTGTATCTCCAGGTGTCGGTTAAAGCTGAGATTGGAAGGATCCATTGTTTGAGGCAGGACAGAGGAGCTTGGGTAGTGCCGGAGAAAATGGAGCTGATCTTTAGTCTGCTTTAGCTCAATCAGCTTCACACTCGTCACCTGCAGCTCTGTGATCTCCTTCTCCATATCACTAATTACCCCTCGTGCTTCTTGTTCTACAGTTTTTTGCTTCTCCTCGATGACCGCGATGAGCTCTGTCTGACTCTTCTGAATCTCAGACACCAGGTCTGTTAGGTCCTGCACACCACTGGCAGTCACCTTTTCAGTTTCTGTCTTGCTTAGCTTTACTGATTCCTTCACTTTCACAACGTTCTGGAGCCTTTCCTGGATCATCCGCTGCACTTTACCCTCAGTGTGCTCCAGCAGGTTCTTCTTCTCGTCGTACGCCCGCTCCACAGGAACAACAGAGTGCTCCTTGTGGCGGGAGCTGGAGCAGACGTCACACAGCAGAGCGCTGTCGTCTCTGCAGAACCACATCAGCAGCTTGTTATGTTCCTCACAGATCCGCCCCTCCAGGCTCGCCACAGGTTCAATCAGCATGTGCTTCTTCAGTCCAGGGGCAAGGTGATGAGGCGCCAGATGAACATTGCAGTATGAAGTCTGACACTCCACACATGATTTAATTGCTTCTTGCGGCGTGTCGGTACAGATGCCACATAGCACCACAGCTCCAGGGCTGGCCTGCAGTGAATGAGCACTCCAGGTGTCAAAGTCTTTAGCTTTAAGCGACAAGACGTTTGACGTGAGCTCTGAAATGAAAGTGTTGACCTTGAGATCCGGTCTTCTTTCAAAAGCGTGATTACAGACAGGACACCGACAGACTTGCGCATCTTTCCAGTAGGTTTCGATACACAACATGCAGAAGTTGTGTCCACATGGAGTGGAAACTGGGCGAGTGAAGACATCCAGGCAGATGGGACACAGAAACTGGTCCTCAGAGAAGAGACTGCTGCCAGATGCCATTTCTAAGAAAACAGACAAACACTATTAAATCTAGGCCAACATTCAGATTAGCTGCTTTAGCTAAAATAAGTTCATGAGCTATTCTGGAGCTTTTAACAGCAGCTGTCACTACATTTTTAGTGGAAGTTACATTTTTGCCAAACTCTTTAAAACAACCCCAGAGAGTTGCTTATATAAGCAAAAGGCTTATCTTTGCATTTAGTGCTGTAATTATTTAACGCTGACTTTAACCATTAAAGTTAAAACTCGAATGGCAGGTTTCGCTCTGTTGTTTTCAGGCTGCAGAACAGGACGCGACCTGTGCAATCACCTTAATGAGCCTCAGTATTGCCCGGGGACAGATTTTTCCTGTTTCAGCAGGCATTGTCCTGATAACATTCAAATCAGTTCATAACCCGATAGTCTGCACTTAAACCACAGAGCAAATGTACTAAACTGCACCATCATCGAGACTCAGGATTAAATGGACCCATGCTTATAGACTGGGTTTTTAATAAACGCAGTTCTTTCATTTTCATTTCATTTTCAAATTATGTATTTCCATTTTTTTGACCTGTTGCTATTTAGTAAGTAGACATTTTCCTGTATAAATAAAGATGATTTTATTGCTAACTTCATGAATCTTTATTAACAGGCAGCACGGTGGCACGGTGGTTAGCACTGTTGCCACCGTGCGTTGGAGATGTGGGGTAACACATACCCACAGAGCAGACAGGTCTGGCCCGAACCTGGTGTCAAGCCGGCACTGCTGGGTGACTTCCGGCATGGGTAAGTGGTATGTCATCCAGATATGGGCCAGGCCTGGCGTAGATGGCACTGTTTATGTGATGGCATGCCACATCTGGCCTGATTGTGGTTTGGTTTATGTGGCCCAGGCTCATAGAAAACGGGTCTTCCCTGGATCCGGCATCAAGCTGGCCCTTCTGACTGACTGGTGTCATGGCAGAGTGTATGTCAACCAGACGTGGGCCAGGTCTGGCAATGATGGCACTATCTATGTTCCTATTTTCCTATTTTAGTTAGAAGACCCAAATGCCATGTTGCAATACTATACTGCTATGGTAGCCAACGTTTCAAATGCAGGTTTGACAGGTTTGTGAGTGTACACTTTATCCTAAACCTAGTGAGGGTTTACTCATGTTTACCACTGGGTGGCTGTAGCACAGGAGGTAGAGCAGGTCACCTACTGATTGGAAGGTTAGTGGTTCGATCCCTTGCTCCTCCAGTCTGCATGTCAAGAGTTTGAATGTAGTTATGAAGCACTCAATTTAGATGAAGTGGGTGAATGTGGAATGTTGTATAAAGCACTTTGTGTAATCTGGGAGAGTAGAAAAGTGCTATATAAGAATCAGCCCATTCACTGTCTGAACAGAGTTTTCTCATGTTACTTTTGCACTATTGTGTTCCGGCACATGTTGTTATTACACGGCTTGATTAAGGTACACATTAGGCTGACATCTGGGGGCAGAGCTGAAACTGTTCTGGGCCAGCAGTGTGTCTGCAACTGGCCTTGTGCGGGCCACCAAAGGGTCGTCATTCTTTGCGGTATGTGGGCCAGGTGTAAGCACATTGTGTGGGCCAGATCCGGGCCATACCAATTTTGCTATGTGGGTATAAAAGCACACTACAGTCACTATGCACAAAAAGTGCAGTAAGGACAGTTAATAAGATCGGATATATTTCTAAATTCAAAAATGTGAAAATTCACAGATCTGGTCAGATTTAAAACTGGTCAAATAATATTCAGAAGAAGAAATCATGTGATACCAAAAATTTTAAATGTTAAAAGTTTTCACAGACAGAGAGGGGAGCTACATTTGAAAAAACACAAAGCGAGGACAACAACGAGGAGCATGCAGTTAACAGTCTGTGGAGTGGTTTTGTGGAGTAATGTGGAGGAGGCTATACAAGTATAAATCAGACCGTGGCTCAGGGGGTTGGGAAGCGCATCTGTAACCGGAAGGTCGCTGGTTCGTTCCCTGGGCTCTCTGTCCTGGTCGTTGTGTCCTTGGGTAAGACACTTTACCCTACCGCCTATTGGTGGGTGTGGCAGAGGGGCCAATGGCGCGGTATGGCAGCCTTGCTTCTGTCAGTCTGCCCCAGCTACAACTTTAGCTTGCCTCCACCAGTGTGTGAATGTGAGAGTGAATGAATAGTGGAATTGTAAAGCGCTTTGGGTGCCTTAAAAAGTGCTGTATAAATGCAATCCATTGTTGTTATTATTATTAACAAATTATATAAAACACAACACAACAAAATAGAGCACTATATGGAAGCGGTGGGGTGTTAAATCTTTATATTAAGAATGACGTATTATACAAAGCAATACTTTTGGATAGGTGTAGTTAAATAACTATAGATCAGTGTATAAAGGTGTATATGTTAATATAACACAGGACTGTGCATTTGATATTTATGTAAGTATATTTATAGCATATATGTATATTTTAGACTGTATAATTAAAACAGATATATACGATGAATTAATAAGCGTGGGAATTAATACTAATTGAACTGGATAAGGCCAACATTTTTTTTCCATGTGAATGTGATGACTTTTACTGATTTATACTGACTTATATTGATTGATTGATTAATATTGAGTCTTACTAAAAGGAGTTAGTAGCTATCAAAGATGATCGTAGTTGTGCATTAAGAGGAACTGCTCGTTTGATATCTTGAACGTCATTATTTATATATTTATTCATTCATTTTTAAATCACATGTGATCATATTTGGAAGTTAGTTAATGCTGGCACTAGTTTGCGTGGATGGTTACCGAGCTGTCACTGTGATATTAAATAGGATGCTGAGTTTGGCAACCAAACAACAGACTTGAAACAAAATGTACCTACTGGGGAAAATAAACAGCTGATTCCTTTTCTTCTTATATCTCAGTGCTGAATAGGGCACCACCTGTCAATCAAAGGGCTTACACCCCTTATAATCAGGCTGGTCTACGAGTCCCTGCCTCTGCTAAAATTTTAAGAAATTCCCAGTGGGGTTAAAGTGTAAGTACAATTGGCTTTCACTTTCAGTCTGAGAAGACTAGCAGGAAGCATGATCTTAGCTGTTTCAGAGCTACTCCTAATCAAATAAAAGAGGATTAAAAAGGATTCAGAGTGACAGATTTTGCAGGAGTATCATGAAAAAGACAGAAACATTTCTACTGAATATGAAATACTCACCTGGTTGTTGACATCACACTGGTGAAGTCTTCTTATATCGCTGAACCAGGGCGGCTGTCTCACATTCTGCACTTAGAAACCGTTGTTTTCAGGATGTCTGTGAAGAAAAGTTACGTACACGGATTGTTGGCTTTGCAGTTGATGATGGAATTGCAGTGATGGGCTGATGGGGAGGTTGCAACCACATTTCTGCGTTACATCATCCCTAATCTAACCGTCATTTAGTGCATTGTTCACATTTAGAGCTTGTGGTCCATGATGCTGTAAAACACATTAGAGAGCTGAGTCATTTTCACACATTTATTAGTTCGTTGGTCTCAGCAAACGAACAAGTTTGCCTCCTTCTCAGTCTGAAGATTCGCAGATATGGGTAAAAGAGGGTTTACAGATGACAGATTTCCTCTATGGGAAAAAAATATGTCATTAAAGCAGAGAAAGAAAAAATCTGCTGGGACAGAATATCATATTTTGTGTTGTTTTGTAATTGGCACAGCTGGCCAAATAGCACAAAGTGAAAGAAGTCACAAACTAAACAGTCTGTATTGCCTCGTTTTATTGGCAATAAAATATTACACATTTTAGTTTCACTACACAGCAGAGTATACGCTATTGTCATATGTTTAAGTTCTGAACTTTCAAAATTCATAATTATTCTATAAACATTACATTGAGAATAGAATACATTTAAAAAAAAATTCTAATAGGCTTAAAAATATACAGGACCTAAATTATTTCTAAATTATTTTCATGGAAAAAGAAAAGCACATATCACACTCTGCTTATGATCCATATGTTTAAGCCTTTGAACAAGTAGAAAAAAAAAGATGATTTATAAAATCTCCACGCCTTGTACAGCTGCCATGAATGGGGGAAATCATCTATAAGAACCAAATCTGTTTTTTGTACAAATGCTTTTTCTCCTGCTGTAAGTTTAGGCATCTTAACATGCTCCTCTTTTAAAGCTAGCATCAAGTGGCCACTAGAGAAACTGTAGTTTCTAGCATTTCTATTAATGGATTCGGTTTTATCAACCTTTCCAGACTTGTTTTGACACAGTGAGGCAATGAATGAGAGAAACCACTTAAACTATTACGCATTTGGCCAACTATGTGTGGTACACAGGTATCATCCCACTCTGTCAGTAACCTTCAAATAGACTGGCAACTTCCTTGAACTTTATGCTATTGTTGGAGTCATAATCAGATAAACTAAAAAAAAAAAAGGAAATTATAAAATTAGTCCCATGTGGCCTTTGTATCCTTGGCATATGCAGCTGGACAGTATGTTGTTAGTGTTACTTTCACTTCTCGTGCTTTGTGCCCTAAAAGCTGCAGTTCAGAGTTCACTACTGACACCGGAAACATAGTGAAACGTGGGAAATTCGACTCAGACATTTAGACAACAAATATCTTTAATCGGGAATATCACTAAAGAGATCATATGATCATATTTTTGAGACAACAGCTGTGGCAACATTTCTCAGCTAAAAAGCTTCACCAGCAAAGAGGTTTATGACCGTACAGCACATAAATAATACTAATGGCAGTAGCTATGTGTTATTAAGAAAGCCTAGGTTACTAGTGACTACTTACTTGTTGCTCCTCGGTGGTGTGGGAGTGAGAATAACGAGTATGGCTCAGTTCCCTTTCTCCAGAAGTATTTTGCTTTTGGTTTCCTCGGTGTCAAATTTCCTTAAAGGGACAGGCACCCTTTTTCTTGCTGCTTGCTCTGCATTCAGGTTTTGAGTCCAGTATGAGGGTGATTTAGATTTTTTTAATTCATAAGGATACATTTGTGCTTTACTTCAGAATTGCTTTTCCTCTTATCTGCCTCCAGTCTGTCTGTGTGTGTTTGTGTGTTGCAGTGTTGGTCACTCTGCAGTGAAATCTATGGATGTACGTTAGTGTGTGAGGTGAGCTTCAGGGTTGCAGGGCGGTGTGTGCTGAAGAGATAAGGGTTGGGGGTTGCTGATACACTGCTACCATTAATCATGGTTTAGTAGCCGCTTGGCCTCCGAAACCCCCGAAGCTTTGGTGCGGGAAAAGTACTGAAGTTCTTCAGAGGAAGATGCAACGACTCAAGAGGAAAACACTCCTGTATCTGTAGAAAACAACATTCAGTCGAGCTCTTTCTTTGGTTTAGGGGGTTTTCATACTTATAGATCAGCCAAAGTGAAACTTGAAAAGACTTTATTGGATGCAACTGCTGTTCAACTACCTAATCAGCCAATCGCATAGCAGTAACTGCATTTAGGTTGACATGGTTAAGATGACCTGCTGAAGTTCAATTCAGTATCAGAATTGAACAGAAAGGTGATTTAAGTGACATAAATGTGCAGTGGTTGTTGGTGC